GGGAGGACAATTTATCTTCTGACTTATTCCGTTAAGAGGAATTCTTTCACCACTTACATCCTGAGTCTCTCCATCGCTGATTTTGGGTATCCCTCATTATTGCGGCTATATTTGTTGCTGTTTTAACTCTGCGTAAAGAAATTTACATACTCCATACCTTTTTCTTCCTGTTTCTTGAGCTGTTTTTCTTCACCTATTCTGCTAGCCAGTTTCTGCTGACAGCCATCAGCCTGGACAGGTGTGTGGCTGTCCTCTTCCCACTCTGGCATCGCTGCCATCGCCCGCCCTATTTGTCCACCCTAGTTTGTGGCATCATATGGACCCTCTCCTTCCTGCTCGCTGCAGTGCACTTCATTCTCCACCAGACCAGGCGCTCTGGACGTTCACCTTTAGTTTACCAGCTGATTGTGAATGGTTTACTTTGCACGCCTCTCATGGTTGTGTCCACTGTGACTCTCTTGTTCCACATGGGCTCGAAAGCACAACGCAAGCAAAGGAAGCTGCTGACCGCCATCTTGTTGGCTCTCCTTTTCTTCCTCCTTTTTTCTTTCCCAATGAATGTTGTTTATGTCATAGAATATTTGGATCCCCCTCATTACATTCTCATGACAATTGGCTTAGGGTTTGCCGCTCTCAACAGCAGCATCAACCCACTCCTCTATTTCTTAGTCGGGAGGAAACAGACCGGAAAGGATCAGCCCAGAGCATCTTTGAGGGTTGCTCTGCAAAGAGTCTTCAGGGATGAGCAGGACAGCCCAGAAAATCAGAAAACCATGGAGGAAGCCCAGTTGTGAAGAGTCACTAGCATTTATATTCTTTTTTTTTTTAAGCCATAATGAATATATGGTTCAAAATTGATGTAAGTTCCCAAACAAAATTGCAAAACTCAAAACAATGAAAGCTGAAAACATTCCTGTGTATGTAGCTTCCATAAGTGAAGAAGAGGCATTTGTATCAAATATTCTTACTTTATATAATTCCATTCTATTTCACAGTAGCAGTAACAATTAATTATTACTGTATGAAACTTTAAATATGTCTAATTTTTATGATGATAAATATTTGTCTTCATTCCATTTTTTCAACCCTTTGTTGAAAATAGATGTAATCCATATGATCAGAATTTGGACTTTTGTTTTCCAAATTAAAATGTCCATACATTTAATATCAAATTAGAAAGTTATTTGCCAATTGGAGAGGTTCTGAGCTTTGCTGTACATATTTCTCTGTTTAATCAAGCTTATTAGATCCTATATGCAGTT